AAGTGGGTTTTAGAAGGTTAACAGGTTGAGTAGAAAATGTAGATTTCATTTTAAATTATGATCCGCGACAATTATTACTCAAAAATATGTTAAGCGAATAACATACCGAGGTCATGACACAAGGCGGCTAAAGTCACACACTTAAGATTGCGTTCATCATCGACATTTTTTCCTTGCTGTTCCTGTAATCTTTTGGTTAAAGTATAAGCGAGGTGTGCAGTTCCTGTAATAATTTCACTATTGAATCATCCTTTCATTTCTCTAATACAAAAAAAAAATAATAATCTATTTTTAAGCACAAATATTCACATCAATTAGTTAAACTTACGATAATGACGTATCGATATAGCTTAAGGTCATAACTAAGTGACGTAAATATTCCTGACTAGTATTTATTCTTACCTAAGCTGTGCTCAAAGCGAGTATGAGTCGCACCTGGAAAAACATAAAAAGCAGTTCCTAATTGCTTGATATCACGCAATCTTTGGAATTGTGGTGTATCTATAAATTTTACTGCCCAACCTTCAAATTCAATGTACCCCTATTTAATAACACACGTTAAATAAAACTAACGATTTAAGTCACTCGAATTTGAATTTTTTTTTAGATAAATTACATGAATAGGGTCCTTAATCATCTTATTTGACTTATTTTTGTCCATTGAGTTTTGTAATGAAATAAAAGTGTAGTAGCTTTATATTTGTTCGAGGTTTGCAATCTAATGGTGCAGCGTTTTTCAATGTGTACGTACGTACTTTTATCCATTCTTAGAATTGTTTTTATATCTTATTATTTGTATGTAAATCTCAGCAAAAATAATCCGGTGCATCCCATACTTATTTATACTGGCAGTACAAATTTCTAAAAGGAGGCATAATTGAGATAGTACGTACGTACCATACACACGTTCGAAAAGAACTGGTAGAAGGCATTCCAGCACAAATGGACATTTAATTACTTTAAGGAGATATATATCATACATCAGTGCAATTACGCCACAAACCTTGAATTGATAAGATATTAAACTTTTTTTTTTCTCCTTGCATATACCGGATTTTCTTGCTGGAATCGGGATTACCATCTGTATCTCATTGAAGGTTTGTTAAATTTTTCTTTTTTTTAATTTTCACAATAACATATGATGATGATTAATATTGTTTTCATGGCGTATTTTTTTCTATAAAAGAATTGAGGCTTTTTAATAGCTAATAAAATTTTTAAAAAAAGAAGTTTTTTCTATAGCCTACCTTAAATCACATTTATCATAACAGAATAAAACTCATTTTGGGAATCTAGATTACATAATCCTTATTATTTTATTTACATACAAAGTATTACATATTTTGTTACTTATATAACCAATAAATAAAATTTACAAAGTACAGGATGATTGGCGAAGTGCAAGATAATCGGGAGATTCTATAAAAGTATACAATAAACAGTTCTGGCATACACATTTTAATGTTTATTGGCACTACTAAAATCTGTGCGACATAGTCATATACGCTTCGTTTACGTATTAAGTTCCTGGTAGCTTACAAAATATAACACTGTGCTAGGTCAATTAATAATAATTGTTACAACTTGCACTTACAACTACACTGGCGATCATAAATAATGCAACAAAAAAAAAATCGTTAGATCATATTATCTCGCGCAATTCGGGACGGATTCCCTTTTTTTTTTAAAAAAAAAAATCGC